CAGCGTCCATCAAGCACGATGTAGATAAGCGCGTGCTATAGGATTTTGGCTCTTCACGCTCGGGGAATAAAAGTTGTGGGGTTGTCATCCTCGTCTGCTTCGTGTTCCTGGCTGCCGCGTCGCTGACTATGACCCAGAGCACCCTAGCTCTTAACACCCTTTTCGGCAGGATACGAACGTTTTCTTTGTCAGGTTTCACGGGGAAGTTCTACCTGTTAAAACGTAGGAGAAAAATATGTTTTCTACCCATGCGGCACGAGTTGCGGCCTTTATCATTTTGAATAAACGGCGCAGCACACTTTTTTTTTATTGAAATGCCGAAGTGTTTTGGGCGCAGTTACTCGTAAAAAGCCAAACTGAGCTGTATCAAACATGGCACGCCATAAAGTTTCTACATGTCAGGAAGCAAGAATGCAGCTTAAAGCCGGGTCACACTTCTACATCATACAAAAAACAGTCTGCAAACGCGAGTCCCCGCAACATCCGCGGTTCGAACGCCGCGTGCCCAGTTTCCTCCTTGGACTCATTGCCATGTGGCATTCGAAGCACGGATCTGGCGGCGACTCGCGTTAAAATCAACATGAAGACTCTTTTTTTGTGTGTGTATATAAGCGGTGTGACCCTGGCTAAAGCTGCGAAATACTGATTTTGATTAAACTACATGCAATAGGGAATTCCCGCACTGATCACACGTTGGTAAGAGAGGGAGGAAAACCCGCATGGCGATACTTCGTTCAGGATGTTCACTATGCGAGCTCCTTAGTGAGGGAGATCCCTGAAGGTGACTTTTGGTAAACTATGAAGTCACAATTAACATATCACGCTGCCCACGTATGAAACCACCCAAATGACGTGTGCTGCAGTATCTGCGATATTTTCTCTCCCTAAGTCACTTCTGTTGTGATCTACATGTGAGAAAGTAATCTGCTGTGATTTGTGTAGAATTGGCGCATTTTTAATGGACTAGTCGGAAGCTAGCGACTGCCCAGGCTACCCAGTTATTACTTTGCACCAGGGTTGTGCAGAAATACTCAAAATGTATTTGGAAATACAAATACTGGGATACATTAAAATAGTAGCTAAAATACTGATACTAAGATACATCTGCAAAAATGTATCGCGATACGTATCGGAAATACATTTTAAAAAGAGGCAAAAAGTATTTGGAAATACAAATACAGGAATACATTTTAGGGAGGCAGAAATACAAATACAGAAATACTGATACTGCAATACATATTTCAGATTTGTTTGAGATGCCAACTGAGATAAAGCTTGAAGTTTGAAGTGGAACTTTTTGATCCCGAAATTACTTTCCCGAAGGTTGGCACTTTGCCTTGAAGGTAGTGGTTTCGGGCGACGAGGAGTCTTCAATGGGCTCAAAAAAACGTTTCATCAAGGACTGACCGCAGTCTCTTCCCTGACATCCCGTCTGTCTGACGACGAATGCGAAAAGGCTTCGACCTCTAAATAAATTCTGTCACCCTAAACCCCATCAAAACGTCACCACGCCCCTGCCAACATTGATCACATGACGTCACGGTGGAATGAACTGGTATTCTTTATCTGCAGGTGTGGCCTTGAACATGAAACTTTAGCACGCTGCTGTATATGAAAGGACAAAACATACTTTCGTTGCAAGTTACCTCGTTGAAGACCGTGCAGGCAGTGCCATTTGATATTTTTGAGAATAGTGGACCACCTGAAGCATTCTGGAACACACGTCTTGTCTTCTGTTACGGTTGAAAAAACCATACGGTGGCATCCCCATTGTGAAGGTCCTCCTGCCGACCCTCCGCCACCGACGCATGAATTGCAGTCCTCAAGTTTCGTCTAGCATCCCCCAAACAGAGGTCTCGTGGATTGGGACCTGATGTTGCCGGTACAGGTGCGAGCTCTCCGAGAAACAGCGCGCTTGAGACGAGTCGCAGGTGTACGAAGTCTGGGTCGGAACAGCGAGGCCACGTCTGGTCTCCTTCCTGGGTTTCGGATCACCAGAGCAGCGGGTCATGTTCACGTCGACATATGACGTACCCTTGAGCCGTGCAATATTACGAGCGCAACCGCAGATGCGTTCGTATAAGTGTTGAACTTCACTGCGTGAGTCATTTTACTATTTTAAATTGACAACTGCCAGGCTCGTGCTGAAACGGACTGTGACTCAGCTTTGCCAGCTGGGTGTACTGTGTACGCTAAGGCAAGAGAGACGGTTAGCAGTGGGCGTTTTATGCCAGCAAACAATGACTCAAGAAATCCCTACCTAAAAACCTGTGGCAGAAGATGCTCTGACTCCACTCCTCTCACGCCACCTGGTTTGAGTCCCCTACTACGCAACACTTCTCAGAAGAGAGAAGAGCACGCATAGAAAAATAGTTTGGAGAATCGGAAAGAACCTTGGTCAGCATAGTCACAATGCCCCAGTATCTCCTTGACCCTCGCGCCCTCAAAAGTAAAAAAAAAAAAAACCGTTCGGATTTTTTTTTTTTTTTGAAAAAGGGGGGGGGGGGGGTATTTTTCAAGAAATGTAACGAAATACATTTCATCTTGATTGTATCGTGATACAAAGAAACATCTAAAATGTATTTCGTTACAGGAATACAGATAATGGTGAAAAAAATGTATCGCGATACGGAAATACAGATACGAAATGTATTTCTGAAATACTATCGCGATACATTTGTATCTCGATACTGCCCAACCCTGCTTTGCACATACATCCCCTTTATGCAATTAAAAGAAGCGAAGTTTGCAAAGCACGTGGCTGTCACACAGAAAAATGGAGCTCAAATCCCTATCGGACCCGATACTGATTGTATTAATTTTGTACTCATCTAAGAAATCCCAGCCCATTCTCGGCTATCATCAAGTGTTCTTGTTGTCACCTTTCTCTTTAGGTTTGTAGGCACAAGCTCTCATCATTAAACATTTATTTGTTGTCCTAAATTCATCTTCTCTTTTTATTCGTGACCCCAATGCAGCAGGGGAAAAATGAATATAGGTAAATGCGTAAAACATATGCGCCTGATATAAATTAGCTGACAATCCATCCTTGTATACCTCCTGTACGGAATCAACCACTAATAATAACATACGTTTTATGTCTTATACTCACGCGCAATTACACAGTTATATCTGAATGCACCTATCTATAAACCACTCCAACTCAACTATAAGAACTATAAAAATGCGTGCAATGACTCCTGCTAAATTGTTTAGAAGTTCCTATGTTCTTCCTTTCACGCCAGTATCGTTATGAAATGGTAAGGAAGCACTATTAAAGTTATCAATATGTTGCATCCGCAAGGTACTCATTATTTCATCCTGATTTTTTATCTTTGAAGCTACTGTTCTGTAATTGTTGTAGTTTTCACTCGTCCCACACTCCGCTTTGGCGGAAATTTGTACACCGCGTAGAAGTTAAAGGTGAGTACACCACGTGGGGACGTAAAAGTGAACTAGAAACACCTGTCGCAAATATCTGGCCATGTCAAAGAAACCCAAGGGAAAGTGAGTTCGTCTTGTGTGGGTTTTCATCAGAAGAAAAAAAAAAGGACTCAAAGCACAGTAGTTTGCAGAACGTATCAGAAAACACGACGAAGAGATAATTTGCAATTGTTGGGGAGTTTTACAAATATTATGAAAACCTTCAAACGGTTTTTATTCAAACGACAGAAGTTCAGAGGGAAATTAAGATAAGGAGGGTGTAGTGTTGTTTGTTGCCGGCAGGTGTCTCTCTTAACAATACTAACCTTATTCTAACATACTGTCATAGGGGGCGCGGCGTTACTGTTACGTTTTCTACATAAGCTGTGAATAAAGCCTGCTGGGCCGGGTCCTGACCTACCCGGCCCAGCTGAGATTGTCTGGTCCCGGTCTCTACAGGGGGAGGGGAGATGGGGGGGGGGGGGGGGTACAGTAATATAGTAGACGTCATTCAGATGCAGCATAAGAATGATACAGCCCAACGCAAGCGAGAACAGATAATTGTTGCGAAATCAGATTTCTATACTTTTTTTCACCTTATGATGTACCGCAGCAAAGGCTGCAAGCGCGAGCTCCTTGCTCGAGGGCACATCTCGGCGGCACAAGCTCTCGTGCGTTAAGAGTAGCTCACAACGCTCTTAGTTCGCGCTTCTAGCCTTGTCTGCGGTACAACATAAGGTGAAACGGAGTATAGTAGCCTGCTTGTCGATGACCATTTGCCCGATGTCGGTTTATTTGAGTTGTCAGCCTCAGCACCCCTTTAACATTTAAATAAAACTGCTACCTGTCTAGGGCTTGAAAATTTATCTAAATCCATAAATATCTCTAATGTACAAGCGAAAACTACAGTATTCGGTGTTTCAACGTCAATGACCGCCTGTGAGAAGTGGGCACATCCATCGCAATTTCAACCACTCCCAGATTCGTCGATACCGACATGTAGGTGGTTTTGAAACCGGAGAAAGCTAAGAGAAATAGATATTTTTAGGAATTTGTGCAACAAGTATAGACTTCTGCCACGCAAAGAACATTAGTTATCCTGTCGATTCTCAAAGATTTGTCGAGGAAGCGTTGAATGATTCAGTAATATATTGAGTGTGCATGGCGAAATTGGCAGCAACATGGCTGACAGGTGAAGGTATTAGGTTTAAACACCGCCAGGCTAGTTCTTTCTTTTTTTTTTGTTGATTGGTATTTTTTTTAATTCTAGTTTATTCACGCATGCTATCGTGTGTCTTGTTGTGAAATCTGATGAAAGCGCGCGTCTAAAGCAGTGGGAATGTGCACTGCGGTGGGTCAATCGCTCCTCTGCCGTGGCAAGATGTATGGTTTAATTGTTGAGCTGAAAGGCAGAACGTTCTCTACATAAACGTTTATTCACAGTTTTACTTTCATCTGTTATTTTGTGTTCGCGATAATAAACAGCAAGAGTTGTATATTTGCTCTGTTCCAAGTGTTATTGCGCATTTGAACTGTTACCGCTGATCTGTGACAACTGTTTGTTGTGTTGTTTACAGCACCAAAGTGACAAAAACGAGACATTTCTGGAGATGACAATTTTTGGGAGTCTTGGCGAACCGAGGAGTATTTTTTCTTCTCTAAGTATTCCAAATATTACATCCGTTATGGAAAAACTTTCCTGGCGTGTGAGGACAAAACAGCTGGGATTTATATCCGATGAGGTAAATTTAATTACTTGTAATTTCTACCTTACAAATAATTTAATGACATACTCTCGCCTTAGCATGTCTTTGGTACTACTTTTTTATATAAACCTTAGGTCTGTACCAATAAGAAAGCAACCCATTCTTTAGAGCAGACTGAAGCGAATACTCCCAGATCAAAGTAATTCCATGGGTCATAACAATAACAAAAATGTCAAAACATGATAATGCAAAACTTCTCAGAGAGCCACAAAAAATTATCGAAATTTGGATTTCTCAAAATAAGGTTGCATAAGCGTTGAAGGGGACGCTACGAACTTCAAAATCTTACTCTTACATCGATATCTCGAATGGAAGGCCATATAAATATATATATAAATATATATATATATTTTTTTTTTAACGAAGGGTGCGTTTAAGTGAGGACTATGACGTCACGATTCGAAAGGGGGGAAGCGGCCCCTCTTCTCACCTCCTCACTTCGGTTCACCTGTTCGAGGGGACGAAGCGAAGAGGAGAGGAAATGAGAATCCTGATGTCACATATGTCTTGTCGACCGTGTTTATTTTAGCACTTCTTTCCCAATAATACGGCCATCCGTTATACGGATATCGCTGTATGAATATTGTTTTTTTGGGTTTTGCAGCGTCCCATGCTGGAGCCTTTCGCTCCACCTTGTTTTGTGTGCTCAAAATTTGGGTTCGGTGTCCCTTTAAAACATTTTAGAAATAAGTCTTTGTAGCTAATTGTCGATTCTACAGTCACTGAGAGCTTAAAGGGATACTTCAACGAAATTTTAAATATACCCGTACTCAGGGATGGGCAGTATTTAAAATACAAGTATTTGAAATACGTATATCAAATACTTTGTGTATTTTGTATTTGTATTTAATTACAAATTGGGTAATGCATTTGACGTGTGTATTTAAATACTAAAACGTGGGTATTTCAAATACAATTGTAATTAAATACAATTTTGTGGGCGAAAATACATCCCTCAAATTTATTGTCACTGTCCAGAGCAGGAAGAACACTACGTTCTGCGCCGAATGCAGTGTCACTCGATCAAACACAAGCGTTTAGTGAATTTGTGATTACGGTGCTAGTCCAGGGCAAGAATAGTGACGAAATCGACGTTCACAGGCAGACTGGCTAAATAAGTGCCTGTGACAACTTGTGATGCTTTCCAGCCTGATTTCCCCCCATATTTTTGCCTGGAACATTCTAAATGCGCGGGTCGTCCAGATTTTTGTAACTGGTGCGAGTTGCAACAATAAAAAATTCTCTAGCTTGTGCTGCGCGTCTTGGGCGTCTCGGTTCTTTGTTGGTCTATACCAAAATGTAATCGACAAAAAAAGCTGCTTGAAGCTCTGTCCTTTTTTCACCTATTACGTCCAAGCTGAATAACTTTTTTTTTGTGATTATATTTTTATTACGTTACTAGAGCCTCGCACACTAACTCCCGAGTGTGCAATGCAAAATTAAAATGAGATACCCAGAAACCCGTTGCAGGTGCCCTGAAGTCGCTGACGCAAATTTTGAGGAATGTATCTGGAAAAGTATTTGGAGGAGACCAAATACATTTGGTTGTATTTGTATCTTGTATTTAAATACTTTTTTGGAAATGTAATTAGATTTGTAATTAAATACATCTTTGATGAAGTATTTTGTATTTGTATTTCGATACATATTTGCATGTATTTTGACCATCCCTGCCCGTACTGTTCAGAAATAGGCTAAATATGATCCACAATATCTGTAAATAACAATCGCACGTTTTTGTATTTTGAGTGTGGCGGCTGTATTTTTCGTTATAAATGGCCTACCCTGGCGAGTGTTCGGAGAGCAGCCAGTAGAGAGCACATAACATTCGGCGGAAGCGTAACGTAGATTGTCCCGGTACGAGCAAAGCTGCGGCGAGATAAGAGAGTTTTAGGGAACCGTTTTTGCACATCCGATACGGTACGATGGGCCCTCCGGTACGAACTGCGCATGCGCTTGTCTTCTGCGATCTTACCGTAATGCGGTGGTCGAACCGTAAGGCACGACTGGCACGACCAATGGCCGACATAAACAGTCTCGCTTGGTTAGCAAAACGGCTATTTCGCTGGCGGAGAGAGCCTGCCGTGGCTCCAAATATGAAGAAAATAACTCGTGGCAGTGCCTGGCAGGAGCGCCATCTGTGACCGCAAGTCCATAAAGTTTGAGTCAGCAAATAAGGCAAAGAATAAAAACCAAAACGCAATAGGACTTTTTCAATAGAAATAAATTTGTATTTAGCGCAGCCACATATCGTCTGCTCGGTAGCTCAGGGAGAAAGAAGAAGAGGCCGTCTGGAACGGCTGCGAAATAATGAGTTCTGGTGGAAACACCGCATCGGCCTCTGGCCGAGGTATTATTGAATCGTCTAATGTCACCTGAAGTGAGTACAGGATCACCCTCCCTCGTCTGCCAACCGGAAACATCGTCCTCAATTCTGTATTTCTTCACGCCGACATGTCTTCCAGGCCTTATACGGCACCGGACTTCCGAGATGCTCTCAAGGAAGTAATAGACCTAAAAGACATAAAAGCCACCGGACAATTCCAAATGGGTCATGCATGGATGGTCACCTGCGTGAACGCTCTTGCCAAAAAAAAAAGCTTTGCCTTCGTGGTGAGCTGCTCGTCAAAGGCAAGAAGTGCCTGGTGATCGACCCAAACACTCGGGATCTCAAGATGAAGCTCCTGTGGCTTCCGAACCGTCTCGAGGATAGACGCATTGTCGAAGCCCTAACACCATACGGTCATCGAGAGAAGTGGCGCTGTCCGGAAATGGAGCACATGGACACCCTAAACAGGGAAGTAGACATCACCCTACATGAAGGAACGGCGACGGAGAAGATTCCTCACCTGCTACAGGTGTACGGAATACAAACGCTCGTCATCATCCCGGGAAGGCCTCCTTTGTGCCTCAGGTGCAACCGGGTCGGACAGATTCGACGGCAGTGCAGGACACCGCGCTGCTTCAAATGTGGCACTTACGGACACATCGCTGACGCTTGCGTCACAACTTACGCGACCAAGCTTCGTGGGAAAGTGTCCCGTGACGCGGAAGGACACTCGGAGCTCCTGATGGACATCTCCGAGGTCGTTGACGCTTCAGGCCACACTACCTCTGCTGAAACCTTCACGACACACATCAAGGATAACTCGCCTGCAACAGAGACAGCCTCTGGTGTCAAAGAAAACGACTCTGGAATCCTCCCAGAGCTAACGCCTGCGCCCTGCGACCACGGTGATGATGATGACGCCTCATCGACGGCAACGATTGTCGAGAAGGACGCACCATCAGACGCAGGAGACATCGCTGCTCCCGCCGAGGTCATTCCAAAGGCCAGCGAGAAAGAGACTGTATCACCGATGCCAGAGGTTGCCACAGAACTTGGCGACCAGAATGACCCTGTGCCAGTAGATGACGAGTCGTTTGTTCGGGTTAGGAAGGACCGAAAACAGGTAGGCTTTAGGCCTAAACCATATTCCAAACAAAATACTCATAAACCGCTCGATAACAACCAGAGCGGTGACTTTAACTCACCTTAAAGCAGGCTCATGGGAGACCCCGCCCTTCCTTTACATTTTATCACCCTAAATGTAAGAGGCCTGAGGTCTAAAAGGAAGCAGCTCCAACTCTTAAGGCTCTTAAATTACGAGCATGTTGATATAGCCACTGTACAGGACACAAAATTATCATCAGATGAGGACATTGCAGAAGCCCTAGAACCCTTTCGAGATGACTTTGAAATCTGTGTGAGTCAGGCAGTGGGCCTTTCTGCTGGTTGTTTTTTTGTTTCTGCGTAAGTCGCTTGGCTATCCGTCGGTTTCCTTATCCATTGACCAGGAAGGGCGTCTCATTTCATGCGACCTTTCTTTGAGGCAGAGTGAATGGAGGATTATTTGTGTATATGGTCACAATGCTGTGAATGCAAGGCTCCTTTTCTTCAAATTTCTAGCCAATTTCTTGGACACCGACAAAGTGGTGGTGCTAATGGGAGATTTTAACTGTGTCTGTAATGCAGAAGACCGAGCACTACTTCAGACGCGTTATGACAGAAGCGCCTCGATTCTCAAAGACCTGCTTCAGGAGCACAACCTTGTTGATGTGGCATGTCGGAAAGATATGTCAATACGTTTTACCCACTTCCAAGGTGTTTCACACGCTCGTCTGGATAGGATATATGTGTCGGGCGAAGCATTCACTTCAATAGCGAGGTATAACGTCAAACCAATTTTCTTTTCCGACCACTGTATGGTTCCTGTTTGCTTTGGCGCCAAGGCTCCCCGTGTATTTCGACCTAAATGAGAAATATGGAAATTTAATGTGAGTATCCTAAAAGATGAAAAGTTTCCAAGGAAGTTTTAACGATTCTGTGAAAATGCCTTGATAATCAAAATACGCATATTTTCTCCACATGGGATAGTTTCAAACAAGAGGTTAAAAATTCGGCAATTGAGCGTTCGACAACAGTATCTTATGAAAACAAACAAAAACGTCGCGAACTTTATAAAACTCTTTTAATGTTTCATGAATTAGAATGCATAAATCCTGGTTTGTACAGTGATGATATTAATGTCACCAGAGCCCAGCTTCAGGCATTCGAGACCGAAAAATATCGTGGAGCCGTTGTTCGTTCGCGCACAAAGAAGTTTTTGCTTGGTGAACTACCCACGAAGCGATCTCTGGATGACGAAAGAAGATATGCGTTTTCTAAAGAAATTTTAGAAATTGACCATAACGGCGTGACCCTTAAGGAACCGACACTGATTGTTAAAGCATTTTATAACCACTACTCGAATATCTTTGGTAAGGTTATTTCTACAGGCAGTCACACTGATGTTCAAAACTTGTTATCAAATATGCCTTTTCTTAACGACGACTCCAAAAAGATAGTAGAAGGCCCAATAACATTAGACGAAGTTAGAGCCGCAATCGACTCACTTAAGACCGGTAAAACACCTGGACCCGATGGTCTCAGTGGTGAATTTTATAAAAAATTTAAAGAACAATTAAGCCCAGTGTTACTTAAAATTTTCCACGACTCTTACAATTGTAAGATGTTCCCGCCTTCCTTTTATGACTGTCACACCGTTCTAATACCTAAAACAAAAGACAATGAACTGCTAAAAAATGTAGAGAATTACAGGCCGATTTCACTGTGCAACGTAGATTATAAGATCTTCGCTAAAATAATTAATGAAAGACTTCAGATGGAAATTGAAGACCTTGTAGGTGAGCATCAAACCTGCGGTATACGCGGTAGATCCATTCAAACAAATATCCACGTTGCCCGCTCGGTCCTTGATTATGCATCAGATAGTAATGGTCAGGTTGCGCTAGTTCAAATCGATTTGGCCAAGGCCTTTGATCGCGTGAGTCACACATTTTTGCTTACAATCCTCCGTCACATTAATGTGGGCACCGCAGTTTGTGAAGGCGTTAACCTCTGTTATGAAAACAGCTCAACGAGATTAATAGTTAACAACATGCTATCTCATAAAATACCAATTAAATCGTCTGTTAGACAGGGCTGTCCCCTATCTCCTCTTCTTTTTGCCCTGTACCTAGAGCCCTTTTGCCTGAGCATACTTGAAAGCCAGAACATCCGGGGAATTTTGATTAAGAAGGCTGAAGTGAAGGTTCTCGCCTATGCTGAAGATGTGGCTGTTTTCTGTACCGATAAGAAAAGTGTAAAAGAAGCCATGACCGTTACCGAAAAGTTTTGCAATATTACCGGTGCGTCCATGAACCCTGCGAAGTGTAACGGGTATTGGTATGGTGGTGGTGGTGAAAAACTTTTATTTTATAAATGGAGAGTTTGCAGGCCAAAATGGCCCTTTACATAGGTGGAGTCCCTAGTCCGGGACCCCGCTGGACAAAGCCGCTACCCGCGCCCGTTGGACTAGAGCCCTTTGAGACTCCAGCCCCGAGCAGTTGAGTAGGGCTGCCTCCCATGCCTCTCTAGTGGGGGAAGGATTAGGGGGAAGGGAAGGGTTCATCTGACATGCCCACATCATGTGAAAGTTATCGGAAACTTCCCCACAGTGAGGGCATCGCCCATCAACTTTGGAGTCAAAATGTTTTACTATTGCAGGACACAACAGGGTGTTGGTCTGCAGCCGCCTCAACGTTCGTTCATCGGCCCCACTCAGGCCCTTGGCTGGGACCGGGTAAAGCCGATGGCGTTCGCAATAGTCTGCCAGGATTTCCCTGACCCGCAGAAGCGGTTGTCTAATCTCTGAGCCGGAAGAGCCTGGATGAGGTATCCGGTGGGAAAGCGCTCGGGCGGCCGCGTCTGCAGCCTTGTTACCTCGAAGGCCCTGGTGGCCCGGAGTCCAAACGATGCGTTTAGGTGAGGGGTCCGAATCCATCACGGCTCGCTTTAAAATGCGGTAGGCTAAAGGTGAAACCACGCCCGCCAGGTAGTGCTCACAGGCTCTGCGCGAATCTGTGATGATTATCTTCGATTTCGGGGCCGAGGCGGCAAGCGCTATAGCTACCTCCTCGGCTTGAGCGGAGTTGAAAGCACTATAGGAGAGTCCGTCGACGCGTCGGCCCTGGTGAACTACGGCGGCCGTATAGAAACCAGTAGGCGACGGCCCTGCCACATCAACGTGGTACACGCCCTGCTTAGATCCGTATTGATGTTCGAGAGCCCGAACGCGCGCCTCTCGTCTGCCTTCGTGTGTCTGCGTACCCATGTTGCGCGGGAGTGGAGAAACCCAAAGCTTGTGACGCCACACTTCCGGGAGCCTGCATGTCTCCTCTGGAATGCATTCGTGTTGTATGTGCAAGCGATCTAGCAGGCGGCGTCCGGAAACCGTTTGCGAGAGTCGCGTGTATTGGTTCACGAGGTGGGCCTCTTTCAGCTCCTGGTAGGTGTTGAGTACCCCCAGCGCCAACAACTTAGCGTTGGATGTAGTCACCGGGAGGTCTAAAGCTCGCTTAGTAGCCTTCCTAATAATGGCGTCGATGCGTTCGTCGTGTTGCTTCGTAGTGCGAAGATAGGGTACGGAGTAGAGGATCCTGCTGGTTACGAAGGCATGGACGAGCCGAAGCGCGTCCCCGCCCCGTAACCCCCTGCGTTTGTTAGAAACGCGGTGGATCATACGTCCGACCTGTTCACCAACACGTTTGAGTTTGGAAATAGTGGTTTCCGGTCTCAGCCTGTTATGAATAAACAGGCCCAGGATCCGGATCTCCTCGACTTCTCTGATAGGACCTCCCGTCAAGGAGATACGTAAACTCGTGTTGTCGTTCTGATTGGCTCTGAGGTGTAGAAGTTCCGATTTTGCAGGAGCGCATTGAAGACCACAGTCGATAGCATAGCTATCGACGATGGAAGCAGCCCGCTGAAGGCGGTCCTTCATTTCCCCAAGGCTCCCCTCGGTGGTCCAAATTGTTATATCATCCGCGTAAAGTGAGTTGGACATATTGGACATCGATGGCAACCACATTGAAAAGAAAAGCTGACGCTTGGAAAGAACGCAACATGTCCATGTTTACTAGAGCTAGTGTGTGCAACGTGTTTCTTGTGTCCAGGCTCATGTACGTGTTGCAGGTGATGCATTGTGCTCGTACGAACCTTCAAAAATTTCATCGTATATTCGCCACCTTCATTTGGCGTTCATCATGGGAACCTCTCAAGAGAGACAACCTTTTCCTTCCTCTTGAAGCAGGCGGCGTGAATTTGTGCCATTTATTTGTCCGGTAGTTAGTGCCACGTTTCTTTTTCTTTAAAAATGCTGAGCATCCTTTCCTGAGAACCTTTCTCCAGCTACGGCTGGCTAACAGTCTTAATTATTTAATTGTTTCTAGTGACGATACATTTGACAGGAAAGCTTGGGGCTTCTTAAAGGAGGTTGTAGACACGTTGGGTTTTCTTAAGGCACGTTTCTCGTTAGAGTACTTATTCAATGTCACACGCAAGCAGCTATCAAGAGCGATAATCGATAGCATATTCTCTGTCCCACTTTATCGAAGCCGTTTCTTTATTGATCCTCAAAATGATGTCCTTAATAGGGTGACAAAGATGTCTGTACCGCCATCAACCAAGTCATTTTTCTTCAAACTACATACTTCAACGCTGCCGGTAAAGACTTGGCTCCAAAGCAGGGCAATATATGTTCCATGGTCTGTAAACTGCAGGTTATGTAATAAGCCCGAAACTATAGAACACTGTTTTATTTATTGCAATGACGCCTTTTTCTTCTGGGACGTGCTGCAACGAACTTTAAAAAAGGACCTCGACATTACGGACCAAAATATCCGCTTTCTTCCATTTTCCAAGGAGGAAGTAGTTCCATACGACTTGTTTGTACTATTAGGCCTCCACAGTCTATGGAAATGTAGAATGATTGATCGAAATGCTGAACCGCCTCGTACAACAAAATCTATTTTTGTGGAGCAAGTGGCTCAACTACGCAGTGCATATGCAGCGCAAAACGTTCAACCTGACTGGTTCCCACTTCTAGATGCATGTATAGGATTGCCAGATTTTTGAAAATTTGTTTGTTTGGGGCTTTATTGAGCTTAATAATTATTTATGTCAATCCTCTAGATCTTTACGGGTTGATATAGTTTGAGTTTTGTGTGTCTTTCTATTATCTGTTGGTTGTAGCGTGTACCAATATGAAACCAAATTGCCAAATGTAAAAGATGCCAAGTTTGATTGCGAGATGAATGTGCCTTGTATATATTATTTATTTGTGTAAATGTACGCAGTCTTGCCGAACGAATGTGTCCTTTGTTATATAACTTCCATGTAATAAAGATATCAAAAAACTGTTCGGTAGCTCAGTGGATTGGAGCGCCGATTTCTTAAGCTCGTAGAGGAGCGGTAGTTGAGAGTTCGAATCCCACTTGCCCAAGCACTTCTTTTTTTTTTTTTTTTTTTTTTTTACATGTTATAAGTTTTTTTTTTTTTTTATACAAACATTGAATGTGCATTTCGAGCACTTATCACCCGTTTTTTACAGCTGCTGTTATCACTGAGGATTATCTGTAGTGGCAACAGAGTGAGCAACAGCCTTCTGCATCAAGACTCTGGATACTTTTTAGTTTAAAAATGTTGCATGAATTAAAAATTTCTGTACAAATCCTAATCACATATATCATACAAAACGAGCCCTTTGAATATTGGGTGATAGTTTTAATAAGTGCACAGCAGTAAAGTTACAGATTTTACGGCGCAACGATCGGTACGCGGGCGTACGACCGTGATCGTCTGCTATCTGTACCGTAAAAGAGCAACATGAGCGCCGCATCTGCCTCCGTTCCTCCGCCTCTTCCTCGCAAGCGGTTTACAGCAGAAGACAACATCTTTCTACTTCAGGAGGTGCTAGGCGCTACTTCTTTTTCACTCCAGCCCTTTGGAATGACGCAGCGTTGAAAAAGAATACTCGTTGCGAGGAGCGAAGGAATGGATTGATCTCCTCGTAAATAAAAATAGAGATTTGAGACGTACTGAAAGATACGTCATTCCAAAAATATACACACCTTATGGAAAGAAAAACAGAAATCATTACATTCTTTCCTTATTTAACGAACCCCCAGAGTCCCTTATGAATATAGAATCCACTAGGGTACTAAAAAGGAAACTAAGGAATTGGTGTCAAGCATCTGAGCTGTAGATATTGTAGCCTAACCGTTGGAGATCTTTCGTACTTTTATTTCATGGTTGTGTGAGTAGACTTGGCTATAAACACCTATATTTCATGCTCTAAAGTGTTCCTTCTGTATTTATTTGTGCTGCTAATTTTGTGTTCCTTTAATTTTTTTAAATTTTTTTTTGTGCTGCGGAGTGCTTTTTTTTTGTAACAACATGTATTCTAGTTGGTCGCCTGGCCCCACATACAAGCAGAATGCTGCTTTTGTGGGCCAGCTCTTTATTTCGTATGACTTGATCTGAAAATAAAAATTGAATTAAATTGAAAATTGAATTGAAAATTTTAATTTAATTAACTTTGCACAGGAAAAATGACCGCATCAACTTGAGAAAGTGTGTATATTTTGGTTATTTTTGTATTTTCTTCGAGATTTAATATTTCTAGTTTTATTTGTCCATAGCTTTCTTAATACTCGATTCTGCATTGGGCCTCGACGGAAAGAGACAGGATCGCTAGCAGACAACTTTGAATGTTGATGATAAGCTCGCGCGAGCGTGTTCTAGTGCCAAATCGAGTTTGCTTTCGGCACTGTTTCAGCAAATCAGGACGTGGTTGGTGTAAACATCATATGTGGTTGATGTAAAACACCAAAGCTTGCCCGCTGAGAACGCATGATTAATTAGGAAACAAGCTACCATGTACGGTCGAGGCATTATTTTATTCCCCAAGTATATAAATCTGGTAAACTAAAAGAAAAAAAAACCCAAAATACGCTGACACATCATTCATGGTATCCGCACATCATTTCTGGTATCACACCTTTTTTGTTTACTCAAAAGCTACGCCAAGTTGAACGTCCTATGCCTTGCCGCCAACAAGCGCCTTCTCTTAGTGTATCGGTCCTCGGTGGCACCCGAAAGAAATGCGACTGACTCCGTGTCACGGCAAACCAAAAAGAATGTATATTCCCTCGTGCCCCTGCACCAGTCACGGGCACCACGGCACGCACGTGCGTGCCTCGCTTATAGAAAGCGGGAAGTTCAGAAGAGGCTCACGCCAAACTTAGTGCGCAGACAGTCGTACAAAATCACTTTTTCTAAATTGTTTTCGCTGAATAGAGCCAACTCCAAGTCATGGTCAAAAAGATCGAGCGCCATTGTTGTCGGAAAGCTCGTCTGCTTCTTTACCAGACGGCCATTTTAGTACTTGGCTGTGCTAGGGGCGACACGCCGTGGTGCGCCAGGTTTTGTATTACGAAAGCGCATTCATTCCAGTAAAAAAACGAGACGAACTATAAGTAGGTATACAATATTTTAGGTGCTCTATATATTTAGGGGGCGATCTTTATTTACTTGAGTTTCTGCGATTTGTACAAACACGCGCAAATTTGTCCTTTCTCGTTGAGGCGGATGCAGGTTTCCGTTGCCAGGGGGCGCGACCTGTACCGATCGTCTGCTATCGTCTGCAAATACGGTTCCCCCAAAGCCGTTTTAGGGCACACGATCGGTCCACACGCCCGATCCAAGGTATCGATCGTTTTTGTTTATTGATCGTATTTTGTTCCGGTTCCCTAAAACTCTCCATTAACGTCGACCGGATGTCCCAGCCATTCGTCACCGAAGCGGCAGAAGCACGCCAGCGATCGGGACACCGCAACTAGCCGCAAAGCTGCTTTTGTACCAATTTTGAGTGACGAGTTAACCTTCTAAAATCGTCTATAGAGGGACAATAGCGACGTCTGGGAAACACAAAAGAGAGTTTCTGTGAGAGGGGAGTTCCGCCTTCCCCTCTTTTCTCGTGGTGATAGGAGAGCTGGTGGGATGGCGTCAGGTTCAATGCGTGCATAATCTAAGGCGAGACAGGCACTGTGGCTACCTGCCAAGGTTCCTGTTCGCCTCGAGATCGAACTAAAGGTGGCGCTACTGTCACGCTATCATCATCATCAATGCGTGGACAGCAAGATGGCTGCCCCATAGGCTACCTGCGGCCACGGCCAAAAGCCAGAAAAATATCGCGTTTATTGCCTCGTCCAGTATTGCTGTGAAAGCAATTTCAACATAATATGGTCCCATACTGTTCATTGCCCCAATGCAATTTCTATTGCACCGAGGTGGGGGTCCGTTTTAACCGATATCCAGCGGCCGGCACGCTGAGAAAAGGGTATCTCTCGAAGGTGAGATCTGATTTACGCGATGGTGTTCTCTAAACATTTTACCGCCGAATATTTCAAACAAACGATGCATGACAACCAAGGTAAGTGGACAAACTGTTTACATAAGTGTGACGAGTGGCCTGACGTATAGAACGCGTAAAGCGTGCGCGTAGATACTCACTCGCTGCTGGGTAGTGTGATCGTCCTTAGTGTGGGTCTTTCCGCTGCGGTGTTTTTAGAGCGGACGCGAATGCCACAAACTTATTACTGCGCGAAAATCCGATTTTCGCAACATTGCACAATTGTCACTCCTACGAGCTCCCTACACAGTGCCACACTAAAGGAGGCATCGACTGCAGGGGAAGTTACTCGCTCAGTCTCAGTGCCATGCGTGTGCGTCGGACGCACCTGATCAATTTTCTCGAAGTTCGGTCGCAAGTACGTGGTAAATAGGGCTGATGGCAACTGGCAAATCTACCGAAGGAGCAACAGGAATTATCGAGGCTAACCAATTAGTTTATTCTCCATGAATTTTGCTTATCCTCCGCGTGACGAAGATTTCTTGCCACCTGGCTTGAAAAACAAATTTTCAACGGCAAATCGCGCTACATGAAAAAGGCATGATCGCAACTCAGGTTAACATCTCACTAAAGGATATGGATGCTACCTACGA